AAGATTTTTATGAAAAATCTTTGGTCATCAAGGAGATTCATGAAGCTTGCCAAAACTCTGGCGTTTTTCATGTACAAATCTCTTTCAAACATGCTTATTTTTGGCAGGAGATGCATGCATTTTTTTGAGTTAGAACATTTCCTGATTTTGATTTTCTTGATTTACCCACATTTCTGAATTACATATCTTTCCAGGTTATTAATCATGGAATACCCAAGTCAGTCATCGATGAAGCCTTAGAAGTGAACCAAAAGTTCTTTGACTTGCCCGGTATTATGAAGGAGGAGATTTTGGAGCTTGGTTCTAGGGACCCTTTCAGCCCAGTAAAGTTAGCTAGGTTTCAACACAGTGCCCTTGGCAGTGACCTACTCCAGAGAGATGTGCTGAGGCTTCAAGCCTATCCTTTTGAGGATTTTGTTGATTTATGGCCTAAGCATCCGGCTGATTACAGGTACAACAATTCTCTATATATTTCATTCAGTATTATTTGAACTACACTGGAATCCCTTTTAAATTCAACGTATCCAAAGCCAAAGCTCTGGTTTTTGTATGTAGAATCCAATTTAAATTTTATAAATATGTGAAGTTTTAATTGACCGAGAAAAAAATGTTGGATTGGTTGTATCCACCTTTCTTCTTTCAACATAAAGGTCTGAATTTCGTTGTCCCCACTCCGTGATCTCATCGTCATCTGGCTATTTGTCAACAAAAAAAAAAAAAAAAAAATCTAGCTCAATTTACCGTGGTGTTTGATTGTAAATCAATACAAACTACACCAGGGAAAAGATGGGGAGGTACACAGCTGAAATAAAGAAACTGGCCATTCAAGTTTTTGTAGCCATCATGGAAAGCCTAAACTTGGATGCAACATACCTCAAAGAAAATTTCGAGAAAGGGATGCAACTTGTTGCTACAAACAGCTATCCATCAAAGTCAATATCGGACATAAAAATAGGTACGCCCCCACATACCGATTTCGGCATCATCACCATTCTGGTGCAAACTGCTCCAGGTCTTCAAGTCATGGACAGCCTCGATGGAACATGGAAAGATGCTCCTAAACTTGAAGGTTCCCTTCAAGTCTTTGTTGGAGATCTTCTGGAGGTGTTAAGCAATGGAATGTACAAGAGTGTAATGCATCAGGTCATTGTACCCAGCACCAACAAAACTAGGATGTCTATTGCCAGTTTCCATAGTTTTGAATTTGATGAGATAGTTGAGCCTGCTAAAAAATTGGTTGACGAAGAAGGGGTGAAAAGGTACAGGGGATGCAGCTCAAAAGAACTTCTCAAACTTATCTTCTCTAGAGCCTTAGATCGTCCTATTGATGCACTTCAAATCTGAGTGTGACAAGTCTTATGGTTCAAAGTGCGAAGAACCTAATTTACATGGTTTTAATATGAAGAACTATAATTAATTTTCTTGGCTTGTGTTGCTATACAGTTCGATAGAAATAAAATGCTGGATAGATCAAAATTGAAGTGTATAAGGTCATAGGCCGTGCTTGATTCCAGTTTTGAACTTCATTGTCGACCTTTTCATGTTTTTCCATTAATTCTGGAGTTTCAATTCTTTACTATCAAGTAGAATCTCAGATGCATAGATTTTTTTTTTTTTTTTTTTTTTAAAGGGATACCATTCCTTAATATATTAAAAACCGAGAAAAAAATACATCAAATTAGAGGCGGGCCAAACCTGACCTCTGTTAAAGAAAAAGAAACATGTAATGATGGAAAATAAACACACATATAAAGGAATTGTAAAGACATAACAGATCAATCCAAAGAAATCATCCACACGAGGGTGCTCCACATTTGTGTGACTGCGAGTGAGCATTGGAATTTGGTTTGAGATCTTGACGTGTTTGCATTGTTTTACCTTTTTTTGAAAGCTGTTTCCTCGCTTTCTTTGAAATCACTTGGGTAAATTGCTGTTGTACTAGATTCTGGTCTTGATCTTTGTGTTTGTCGTGTTGTGAATCGTCTTCTTCTTCTTCTTTTTTGTCGTTATTGCATATTATACTTGAACGAATAAAACTAATTTGATGTGGTCGGGGAAGTGTACCATGTAATTTTTCCCATTTAACCTCTTCGAACACATCTTTGAAAGCTGGCACTGGATTTTGAGGCACCGTGGTTTTCGTTTCTGTTCTTGTACTTGTACTTGGAACCACAAAGAGTGGTAAGGCAATGTCGGGGTCAGTGGTGTCGACCTTTTGATGATTATCGTCTCCCAAATTCTGCTTCTCAAAAGCTTGGGACCCATCACTTTTATTCCAATTAGAATTTTCAGCATTTTGATTTCTAATTGAAGTATTGTCGGCCATTTGCTGCTGACCATCTCCCAATATTTGCTCCACTAGAATATGGGACTCCTCACAATCATTTCCAGCAATGTGATCGCATGGTCCCTCCCTTTGGTCAACAACAACGAACTTTGCTTTTCCGTGCTTGACAGCTTTTTCGTTGCAGTTTTGCCCTGGCACAGCAGCCCCCTCTATGGGCTCCATCATGCCTGGGCCTGCTACCACGTTCAGCTCCACCAGCGCCAATTCTCCAGTATTAGCAGTCCCTTCCAGCTCTTCCTCTGGTTCGCCAATCGCGCGGTCAGCCATAGCGTGAAGAACGGCATCAGCAGCAGCCTCTATCCCCTTCTCCACAAGCACAACCGTAGACCCTCCAAGCTGGTTCAGTAAGCACGATGCATCTCCCACAGCAGTAGTAGGGGTGTCAACGTGCAGTGACCCCTCGGAAAGGCTCTTACCCGAATTCTGTGTCGCACCAGATTTCACCCCATCTCCTTCACTCACCCCCCTTCGCTCCTCATCCTCTGTACGCTGCGTGTTAGCTGGTGAGGAGCGACCCTTTGCGCCCATCACCCCTGTGACCAGATCCTCCTGCGTCTTGTGCAAGCGCAAATCAGGGTGCTTCACACGGCAATGATTCTCGCCATGCCCTTGACGATAGCAGTGGCTGCAATAATTAGGGAGGTTCTCAGGGATAAGAACCTGCCAAAAACCATCCCCATCTCCCATATCGACCCACACCCTCGACGGAATCGATTTGAGCAGATCCACCTCAACACATACCCGCGCCACATTCGGTCGCGAAAACGAAGACGTAGCCGCATCCACGAATAGCGGCGTTCCCAAGCAGGAGACAAGATGAAATAGACATGGCTTAGCAAATAAGTGAATTGGGAGTTTGGGCAATCTAAACCAGACGGGAGCAAGGGAAGACTCTCTGTTCACATGGAACTTAGATGTCCACTTAAAAACCCTCATGGGGGATCCATTCACATACCACAAACTTCGTCCCCAAACGCGAAGGAAATCCGCTTCACACTGAAATTTCAGTAACACATGCCTATCATCTAACAATCCCACAGTCGCCGTATCCTTCAAATCAAGAGTCGACAAGAATTTCCTCAGGTCAGGCAGCAGCGGCCGTCCCTTAGAGAACTTCCCAACCAAAGTGTAGCGGAATGGAGCAGCAACCACTGCTATGTCAGCCGCACTGAAGACCACCGCAGGCTCTCCACGGTGTGTTGTCATCCTCGCTTGAACTTGCACTACCTCGGACGTCGGTTGTGGCTCAAACAACGCAGAGAAGGCCTTCTTCCTAAAGGGGGAGGAAGAGGCCGACAGCCCCCCACCCCCACTCAGATGCATAGATGGTACCCATAGAATTGAATTATATAGTGAAGGGTCATCCGTTAATCATCCTTCCTCTCACGGAACAGAATAGAAAATGTCAGCTTTCTTGTTCGGAGACTGAATGCTTGTTAGGCTCTTAGCTCGCTGCTGTTGAACAAGTGTACGTAATTGACAGATAGGAAAAAAGTTAGGTTTGGACCCAATATAGGCCGATCATTAAGTTGTTAAATTTCGATTTTAATAAATTATACACTGGATATTTTCATACACAAATTAAATAAGCTTTATGAATGATGACCATCTACAAGCACTCAAGAACCATGTTTTTATTTCTGGAAAATGGGGTTTTTTTTGCACAGGTTGCTTCAGTACTAATTTCTAGATGAAAAAATGACAGTCTGATTCAAAGGCTAAAATTGAAATTTTATCCGAGTAACAGTTTTCAAGGCCAAGCCATTCAAGCGTCATCATCTTGAGAAGAAGAATTACTGTAGCACTTCTTTTGAGAGTTTTTAGAAAATAATTACCGTAAAACTTTTGTTAAGATGTGATATATTTAAAATAAAAAGATGATTAGAAAATGTGAGAAAAAATACTCGCAAAAATGTAACCTTTTTTCTTTCGTTGCAAAAAATGCAATCTGAACGAGGCCTTGAAGTATTTACATCTCCAATCCATGGTTCCCTAACTTATCTTTGGGTCAAGAAAGTTGTCTTGAATGATTAAAACTAGATTAGACATATTGGTCTGATTCTCAACAGTGTGAACATCAAGAATAATGGCAAGAACCTTTTCAGATCCAATGGACTTTCTATTATCTTAAGCTGGAGTCTCGAATCATCTTTGTGCTATCATCTACTTAATATGATACATATTTACCGGCTCTGAGCAGTGAACTAATGATCGATGCAGTCTTGATCCTGAATTAAGAACAAACTAATATGCAATATTTCACTCGTTTGGCCTGCTAGACGTGGTAATCATTAACCAATGGCTGCTGCTTGCTTAGCCCGGAAAATAATGTTATATTGCAATTTAACAACTCCCCGAGTAAGTTTAAGCAGCAAGATTTGTGGGTGTAAATCATAATTTTTTTTTTTGGGTTTGGATAAAACATCATAATTTTATTAAAATCTGCACTAATGATAGAAATTATATCATCAAATATACACAAATATCTAAAAAACAGACTTAAAAAACCATATAATTGTTAACATAGGCTTAGATAAATTTTGATTGAACAAGTTAGATGTTGATTTCAAATAGGTAGAACGTATTCTCTATTCATACGCTCACAACCAAAAAAAAAATTTCAATTATTTGGCCCACCATCCATTTCAAGATCAACCTTCTTTGAATAAAGCCACTTAACGAAAGTGTTGCCACTTCTTATTATAAAGTCCCATAATCTCATAGTTGCATCTTAGTGCCCATTGCAGCATGGGTTCATCTACTGATTATAATATGCTAGTGCCCATAATCGACCTCTCCCTACTGCAAAAAGATCATCAAACTAGGTCACTTGTCATCAATCAAATCCGTGAATCTTGCAGAACTGCTGGTATCTTCGCTGTAATTTCTCAGAACTGCATGCTTTCAATCTACTTTGGTACAAAATAGTAAGTATTTGGATATGTATTAGCATGATTGAAGCATTTTTTCCCCCTTAATTTGCTTGCTTTCGTTCGATTATCAGGTTATAAATCATGGCATACCTGAGACCATTGCAGAAGAAGCTTTGACCGTGAACAAAAACTTCTTTAACTTGCCCCTGAAGATCAAGGAGGAATTCTTTTCTCCTGACATGTATAAACCGGTTAAATATGGTACAAATCAAGGCGGAGCTCACGGCATCTTGTGGGAATATTTGAAGCTGTATTCCCATCCTTTTGAAAAATTGGTGGATCTATGGCCTAAAAGTCCACCTGATTACAGGTACATCTTTGGGTTTTACTATATTTTTCACCAGTCAATAAAGAAGCTATCTTGATGAAGGATGAACTGAATAGGAACGTAGCAGATTGTGATAATATTGTATACTCTGTGCAATTAAAATTGTCATCTTTGTGAATAGAATTTCTTTTACGTGCAAGTTTTTTGGGATAATATATACTAAGCTTTCTGCCAGAACCTGTGTAAAAATCTTGAATTGCAGTAAAAGGCAAGTCAAATTTCATCTAAAAATAATTATTGATTCCTACAGTTGTACTTCTATAACAGGGAAATAATGGGAAACTGCACAATGGAGATGAGGAAATTATCAATTCAGATATGTGGAGCTATGATGGAAAGCTTGGATTTGGAGGCAACATATTTGAAAGCAGAAATTGAAAAAGGCGTGCAAATGGTTGCGATAAATAGCTATTCACCAATTTCTGGATCAAACATGAAGATAATAGGTGCATCCCAACATTCAGATTTTAGCGTCATCACTCTTCTTCTGCAGAGTTCTTTAGGTCTTCAAGTCATGGACAAAAATGATAAGAAGTGGAAATCTGTTCCTGTGATTAAAGGGGCTTTACTAGTCCTTGTTGGAGATCTTTGGGAGGTATTGAGCAATGGTGAATACAAAGCCGTCTTGCATCGAGCAATCCGAACTTCTGGGAATGAAACTAGACTTTCTATAGCCAGTTTCCAGAGTTTGGAAATGGATGAGATCCTTGAGCCTGCTATGAAACTTGTGAACGAAGACCATCCTGAACAATATAGGGGCTGCTGCTTAAGAGATTATCTCAAGCATCGTGCTTCTGGAGAATCAAAGCCCTTCGTTGAAACAGTTAAGATCATCAATTCTGCAACAATACAATGAAATTATGTCTGAGGACAAGCTCATTTGACATCATGATTTTCTTTTGTCCTTTTGATGACAATTTTTTATGAAATGTTCTTCAACTAAGCTATCCGCTGGAGATACTTGAAAATATGAATGTCACATTATCAAATTAGAACACTGGTATCCAAAAAAATAAATTGAGTCGTTCCTTACAAATTTTAAATGGATGGCTCAAATCAAACAGATATATTACGATAGATTTGGGCCGTCAACTGGGTGACAGACAATCCGGCTCCAAACTTGAAAACCTGAGAAATGAAATACAAATGATTAATGCGCTGCTACAGTAATTTCCAACAATGTTCTGACCAACTCGGATCCAAATCAGGTTCTGCATTCGCATACTGACTCAAGTTGACTACAAAGTACCAAGGTTATATCAACTGGACATTGGCAAGGTAATATACAACTCGCTAAACAAAGCCCCTTTCATGACCCATTGATTTTATCTGACTCATTTAATTCAAACTCTATAACTTTCTTGTCTATTCAACTACTAGGGACAATTCAAAAGAAGTTCGATAAATGATGAGGGCATTTACCCTAGTTTTGCATGCTTTGGTGGATTTTTGCTGCTTGCAGGTTCCTTTCGCTTTGTATTGTTTTAGTTCGCAAAAGAAGACCAAAAAAAACAGAGGAATTTTTCAACAAAAGGAAGTACTTGCAACACTGACCAAGGACAGAACAGTTTCAGTCGCAAAGTAGGTGACTGCAGCTTCAATCAGCAGAACTACAGCAATAACAGTGAAGCTAAGCAGCAAATGTGCAACAGCCATCTCCTTTATACTACTAGGATTATCGGTGAAATGGAATGTAGGATGTGGGATCCGAGCCATGATCAAAAGGAGCTGAATCAGCCTGACAACAAAGCACCACCGCTTACTTTTATACCAGCATTATCGGTGCAAAGTGCCACGTAGGAATCCAAGCTAAGATTAGGAAAAGCAGAACGGGTCTAACAACAGAGCACCACCGCACCGCACCGCTCCATTAATATATGTATATTTGTAAATCGTAGAGATATAAACAGATAGAATGGTCATTCAGGCATGCTGATGAAATGATGAAGAAGCCAATGCTTCTTATGGTCTAACCATTTTGCATCGAAGGGCAGAAACGAATATCAGGGATACTATGGTAAAAAATCAGCTCATGAGTAAGTAAATCACAGCCATGCAATCATCCGCCACCAGCTTCGCATGGCCAAATGATGTTGTGCAATTCCACAAATGGCCACCGACGGAAGGTGCCAACAGGGGAGGCTACGAAATCTGCTGTTCTTTTTATACTTCTTAGGATATAGCTCATGATGGGGATAAAACCAAGAAAGACGCAGACTTACGTATATTCCTCGAATTCGGAGGGTTAGGAATATAGGAGGTGGTGGTGGTAAACCAGAATTGAATTATTAAGATTCTTTTCTTAAATCCCTTTTGGGAAAGTAGTCGGGTAATTAAGGTGTCTGGTCCACTACACTAGCAAAGAAAAGTTCTAAAATGGGGATATCCCTCCCTGACTTTAACATATAACTTGAGGAATGTACTGGATAGAGTTGTTAGAAAGCCTACAATAATATGATGTATATGATTTTACCCCATTCTAGTTAAATTGGTGCTCTCATGTTATAAACCACCACATTAAGGGTGTGGTGTGACTGACTCTAGATTAAGTATACATCAATTGATTTTATAGATCCCTTGAATATTGTATTGGCGTAACAGGGAGAAGATGGAAAGGTTTGCAATGGAGACGAAGAGACTAGGCATTGAATTAGTGGGAGCAATAATGGAAAGCTTAAAAGATGGTGTTAAGCAATGGCAAGTACAAGTCTGTCTTGCATCGTGTAATCCAAGAATCTAGCAATGAAACTAGGCTTTCTATAGCTAGTTTCCTGAGTTTGGGAATGGATGAAGTTCTTGAGCCTGCTATTGAATTGGTGGATGAAGACCATCGGAAAAAATACAAGGGGAGCACTTTAAGAGATTTCCTCAAGCATCTTGCTTCTGGGGAATCAAAGCCTTTCATTGAGACACTAAAAATAACTTCTGGAACAGTAGAAGAATGAGATGTCATTTGATCATTCAATGAATGCGGTATTCAACGTAGGGAAAATTCATCATCATCTAGGTTGCAGATGCATAATGCATTAGTATTGGTGTAGTTGAGGAATACTCTGATACAAAGTTTCAATCTTCAAATTGTCTAGACATTGTAATATGACAATGCTCCCATTATTCAAGTTGAATGGCTGGAATCTTTGTTGCAAGAATTGAATGCGCATGTATTCTCGGAGGAACAAGAACGCTAAATCCAATTGTTCAGATTGATCTACGTACATTTTCTGGATTCTTCAAGTGGGAAGAGGATTTAGGAAATAGCTAGCTGGATTAGCTCCTAGAATAAGTCAAACGGGCAAAATGAAATTAAAGTTGTGCTGTTGATGACTCGGGAGAATCATCTTAATAGCAGCTTTTAATATGACTCGGAGGAACAAGAACAACGTTTATCACTAGGAATAGAAAATGAGGGAATGATTTTCTACTAGACCATAGAATTTCCCTTCTTTTTGTATGATTACACCAACGTACACCTAATATTGAGCCGGGCAGGGCGCTTATTGAAATTTGTGGTCCTTTATACTACAGAACCCTTTGGGCAAAAGTGCCAAAAACCAGAAGGCTGTTTTTTGGCACTTTTGCCCAAAGGGTTCTTGAAAACTGTAGGAATAAATGGTCCAAATCTTTATTCCTACAGTTTTCACGAAAGATAACTTACAGAAATTAAGTTTTTTTTTTTTGGTGCTAATGTACCGCAGGGATATAAATTAGGAATTAGGCCTCTATTCCAATATGTTTGTTGCTCTTCAGAAATCCAATTTTTTTTTTTTTGATAATAAAACATATTTCATTAAAGGATTACTGGAAATCGTCCAGCACAATTAATATACATTGCTGCCCTGATAGCAGATAAACATGCACTAAAATTATAGATCTGCAATTTAACAAATACATAAGATTTGAGAAATTAAGAACAGATCTAAATAGTACCATAAATTTGAAAAACATTCCATCATAGAATAAGTCGCCGAAGCTCTCTTTGTGCATGTTGTAATCGTCTAATCAACAGTTGTAAGGTCCAATAAGAATGATGAGATCTACCGAGATAGATCCAAATCTGAAATATTCCCTTAGATCTGCTATCCAACTGGTTCAAGTTCAAAACTGAAAATGAGATCTGATGAGAAGAGTGAAGAAATTTTAGATCTAACATATAGATCTAAAAAAACTCCAAGATTTGAGAAAATAAAGAACAAAAAACTAAAAATAAACTCTCACTAAGATAGTTTAGGAGAGACGAAAACTCTCAATAGGACACCTTAGGAGAGAAGAAAACTCTCACTAGGATACCCTAGGAGAGACTTTATTGAAAGAAGAACAAAGGACAAAGGAAGAGGAAGGGAGACCTTGGCTCAAGGCCAAGATCTCCCTCCTATGGAGGAGGAAGAGTAGAGGAGGAAACCTAGAGAGCAGGAAGATAATCTAGTTTGCAGTTGGAAATGTCCTTCCCTCTCATCATCTAAAGAAATGGATAAGAGTTAGTTTATCGTAGGGAAAAATATTAGGATTAGTTATAGTATATGAAATCCAACTTTTTAGTAAGTGCTATGCTTGTAATTTTTGTACTTCTCTTTCCCCAATAACAGTTGAATTTATAGTGTGCGAGACTTAAATGCCTAGCCTTAATTCTTTAGGTCTCAACTCTGAAGAGGAAGGCCAGGACAGCGAGTTACATTAGTAATATAAAATCTTGCCTTTGATTGTTGGCAAATGCCTCCTTTTCTATGTTGTCAAGCATCCAAATGCTTTTCCTGAGAAACTGGCCATGTCCATGCACCTTCAAGACAATCAAGAGCCAACTACTGGGGGGCCTTCCTAGCCACTTGCCCCGTCACTCTCCGCCGGCGCCGCCCCTATGAAATCCTAAGAGTGAACAAATTACCGAGTTTTTCAATTCTGGCAAGGGATTGACAACAATTTCAGTAAGTTCCGGTTGAGTTTTTTTAAAATAAAATAAAATAAAGCGTCATATTTTCAATAAATCTGTACTAATGACAGAAATTATATCAATCATGCGACTACCGTGATAGAGTTAAGTATGGCACCCCTATGATAGAATCACCGGAAATTTTTCTAATTTACATGCCCTGGAGGCCATTGTTTTAAATGCCAACCACCCGACTGAAAGAATTTTGTCCCACCGCGTGAAAACAAATGTATAATCTTCAGGAACAGGGGCCGGGGCTGGTGTTTATGGAAATCTTATGAGACCAATAAATTAGGACTATGACAGATTAGCTGTGATCTGTTACCAAATTTTATGTACTAGCAAATAAATTTTTCCTTTCTTTGTATAAGTACTAATTATGGAAGTTAGGTGTAGCGGCACAACCATCCTACAAACACCTCAGTAGGAAATTGACGCCTATTTGGAGTATTCAAATCTATCATACGAAAATCTGGCAAACAGTCCTTATAAATACCAACTTCTTCTGTAATTAATTGAGTGTCAACTAGTTCTTGAAATTTCTACCCAAAAAAGAAAAAGAGAGAGAGAGAAGTCATTGAAATATTGCTAGTAATTACCAAATGGCAGCGTGCAATGGCAATGGTCCCTTTTGCTCCAAGTTGGAGTTTCATGCTATCCAGACTGTGATGCCAGTCAAGCCAACTGATCCGAGAAAATCCACTCGAGTTTGTCTTTCTGGGAATCCCATTTCAGGGATATTCTCCAGGTGCTTTAACGTTCTTCTGTGCTACCAAAAGGTAGCCTCAGAAGAGGAGGATTCGGGGATAGCTTCTGGCTCCCTAGTTGCAGGATGGATCAGGGAGTCACTGGGATGGGCATTATCAGAGCAGCCAATGCTTGCCGGAAGGCTAAGGAGAAATCAAGATGTTGAAGGAGAGTTGGAGATGGTGTCAAATGATTCAGGAGTTAGACTGATTGAGGCACAGCTTGCCATGACCTTATCAGAGTTTCTTGATTTGAAGGATGAGAAAAAAGCAGAAGCTGAACTTGTCTTTTGGGAGGGTTTGGATCATGAACAAAATCCTCAATTTTCCCCTTTGTTTTATGTCCAGGTTAGCAAGTATACAGACTAAAAATTGGATTACTATACTTCTTGACTAGAACTGACCAATGATTAAGTCTCATGCATGATAAACTGATAGTTCACACTAAGGCGTTGAGGAATCATTCATCATTTGGTAAACTTTTTAAATTTGGGATTTGTTTGTTCTGGGTATTAGCGGTGTCATAGGTGAAGATAATGTAAAATATATCTGATCTTCAGGTGAAAGGATCTAAGCAGTATCTTCATTTTTTTCTTTTAAATATGTTTTAGGTAACCAGCTTCAAATGTGGGGGATACTCTATTGGGATTAGTTGCAGCCTTCTTCTGGTTGATCCTGTTGCTATGACAAGTTTTTTGAAGAGATGGAGAGATATTCACGTTGAAATGGTTTCAAGAACTGATGTGCCCAAAATACCAATATTTTACCGACCCAATCTCAGGAACCCTGGCCCTTTCCCAGGTCTATCAATTGGCTCAAGCAAAAAAGCATATGCTGCCAAAACTATGATCTTCACCATTGCCAACGAAGTTCTGGATTTGGACAGTGAAATCCACAACAAATTTGCAGCAGCATGCATTGATGAGGCAGAGTACAAGCTTGGCTATAAAACAGCTCCAAGCTTAAATTTCTCCTTCTTGGTGAAAGAACCATCAGAAGAAGTTAATGTAAGAAACTTTACGAGAGAAGGGTTGGTTCAAAAACCATCCACAACTGTGAATGGAATTCACACTTGTTCAACTTGGGATGACTTAGGGGTTACAGAAATCTGGTTTGAAGAAGGAAACAGGCCTGCTCATGTATCATGCTGGATCAACTCTGTGCCTGATGAAGCTTTGGTCGTGATTATTCCATCTCCAGAAAAAGATGGCTCAGGAATGAAAATTGTAGTTACACTTCCCCATTAAAGATTTTTCTTATAGCTTCCCTGATGCTTTTTAATATTAAGAGTTTAATAGATCTTTTGATTATGTATTGAATGAGTCAGTCATAAACACTGGACTTGTTTCTTCTACATGGATCATCTTATAGTTGTTACACTTCTTTTATTAAAGCATTTATTAGCAAGATTCATATGTTAGTTGAGATTTTCAACTTTCCAACTAACACCTATTTTCACTTACAAGAAGACATTTGAAAACTATTCCCCACACACACACTTAGCCTTCTCTGATTGGTTTGAGCAATTTAGGCTTTGTTTGAATTGCATTTTTTTGGATTTTTTCGTAAAATAATTACTGTAACGATTTGATATATGTGAGGTAAAAAGGTGATTAGAAAATATATTTACGAAAAGCGTAGCAAGCTACATGAAAAATTGCTGTCCGAACAAGACCTCAGTACTCTAATAAATTGGCCAACTAGGGATCTTTACTCCTGATGTAATTAGTAATTACCCCAATTCAAGCAAAATCTTTCTTGATGGCAAGCTACATGAACACTTGGGCCCGCTGTTGGATTTGAATGGAGTTTTCTAACTTGTAATAAATGGTCTGTGCTGGCTTCCACGGCTCTACGTACTAACTAGTAACTATACAATTCAATGAGTTACGTCGGCTCAGTATCAAAAAGGAGTATCTTACTCATGTCTCATGAATTATTGCGTCCTTCAATCCATCGAGATGGTGTTACTAAGGCCCGGTTTGGATTACAATTTTTAGGAGTTTGGATAGAAAAAATACTTGTAGACAGGGTCACGTATGAACTGCACTTTTTAGGAGTTTTTTCCTTGTGTTTGAAGAAAAAATGTAATAGCGACGTAATATATATGAAAGATAATTGAAAAATATATATATATAATATTTTTAAAAATTCTCCCCAAAAACTCGCAATCTAAACAAGTTCTAACTATATTACAAACAAGGGAGCCAATCATGGGTAATCGAATAACTAAAGAACTAGAAAATGCCTTTACTATGATTGGATGGCCATTATTTGCAAATATTATTATGCTTACATGATAAATATATTGTTTAATTATTTTTTGATCTTTTAACTAAATTTTCATTTCATATACATGACATTACCAAAAAAAATATTACAGTATTATTTCAAATAATCTAATATCCAAATGTTTCATTCAGATTTACAATGCAGGGAAGAGAGACTTGAAGTTTTCTTGGTGGAATTGTCTTGTCCAACTAGTAAAGCCTAGAAGATTTGTTGGTGGGCCTGGGAAAATCTTTTGGCAAAATTGGGTAATATGGGTGAATCGTGTCCTCACCATTGATACCTTTCTCGCGTTTTAGGCTAAGACGAAGCTTCTGCATCCTTCAAAGGAAAGTTAATTTTTGACCAATACTAATTGCCAATTGTCTGCATAAAAAATGGCAAACACTTGAGTAGACTCAATCTATACAGACTGTGTGCCCTATGTTTTGTCCCCAACCGTTTTGGTCATTTTCAACAACGCGTAACTTTGGTTATACACGGCGTAACTTTGTTTGCACAACGTGTAACTTTAGTACAAAATTTTACGAGCCCCACACATGATGTAAAAATCGATGCACAACTTGTTATCTAAACCGCACAAAATTTTTTGACCAAATCATGGCCATTAATGCTCAGGGACGGTCATTGCCCCATTTCCATGTTTTGTCATGCCATTTTTCACCAACCCAAAAATTGAAGATGTGACAACATTTGAACCACATGATCTGTAAGACTAAGCCTACCCGAGTTTTTGCCTCGAAAAAATTATTCCAACCTCAAAGATCAACTACAAACATGTCCCATGTTATAAACAAGAAGAAATCAGGAGATAGCAAACCACATATCTTAAGGCCTCAATGTTGGACTTTTCTCCCAGATCTGGATAAGACTGTTTTGGGCCTGGTCCATTTGCAACATTTTCTTTCAATAGCCTTTCGCTCCTCCCTGTTTTTTATATTTTCTCTTTTGTACCTAGAGTAGACTGTATTTGGTACGCCAAAGACAGAGTATATAAGGAAGAGCGAATAAATAAAAATTAATTTTATATATATGAATAGTATTTATGCTATTACAGTGATATTGTATATAATGTTAGTGTATAAAATAGTAATAGTGTATACAGTGTTAATATATAAAAGATTAATCTAATAAATACACATAATTTCTTTGCTCTTTCTTATGCCTTTCAATTAATTTCTATTTCATATACATGTTATAGCGAGATACATATGCAATCTCTATAGTTAGCTATTATTCCAAATTATAACAAAGAGATTACAAAAAACAATCAATACTTCTTCGTTTTAATTCTAATGAAACTAAGCATAAATCAATTCAACTCATCTCATGTTGATCCTGCTGAAGTTAACTCTATAATGACTATGGGTATATTTGGATATAAACCCAAATTAATTCCTCCCTCGTTTGCCATCTTGAGTTATATGAGGTTTTATTTTATTTGGATCTAGTCTAGGATAGAAGAGTGTGAATTTTAGAATTTTTTTATTTTTGAAGTAAATCAATATATAAGGTTTTTGTTTTCTATATATCAATAATAGTTTTGATACTAAGATGTTTCTGTTTCTTTACATTTTTTACCCCTTTCCAGAATGAATGTGTTGAGGTTATTGCTACAACTTTATTTAAAAAAAAAAGAAAGAAAAAGTTAAAAGACATTTAAAAGCATATTATCAGGATGGCTATTAAACTTTTAGAATTATCGAATTTTGATCACTAAATTATTTAAAGTTTGGTTTTGGCCACTAAATTATTTAAAATTTAACTTTTGAGTCATCTTGTCAAATTTTATTGTTAATCATGTCTCTTTCTTTTGTCTCGTGATTTGTGCGAACACTCAAATCTGACATAGTTAACGATCAAATCTAGCAGAACGATCTGAAATATAAATTTTAAATAGTTTAATAGCTAAAATCAGATTTTTAATAATTTAGTAACCAAATTTTGGAGATTCTAAAAGTTTAGAACTCATCTGGATAATTCGCTGGACATTTAACTGTGTCTTTTAGAATCACCTCCTCCGAAGTTCTGTGATTTCTCGTATTAAACCCGTTTATTTAACATATCTTTCAAATGTACCCCCTACTCCAGAATCCCAGAGTCGGTCTCGCCAACTCTCTTCCTCTTTACTACTGTCGAATCGCTCTATTCGCAATAAAGAGAAAAAGGTTCATTTCTTGCCCAAAGCAGTCAAATGGGCTTTGAATTCTTGAAGAATCTCTATCCCTTATAGCTTTTCCTGAAGAGAGGGGTAAAAAAACAAAAGGAAAAAGCAAAGGTTTTTGTTCCTTTTTTTCACAATGGAGACCAGTACTGGTAGTAGAAACAGTGGTGGAGTGATTGTTACAAAAGAAAGAATGTTGAAAATAGAGAACCCCTTTTCTTTAAAAGTGGGACAAGTATTTACTGGCTTTGGAATTGGCTGTGGAATCGGTATTGGTGTTGGACGCCCTTTAAACTTAGGTTTGTTATGCAACTTCACATTGTCTGTGTTCCTCATTGTTTGTTATTCAGTTTTTTCTTGACTTATCGAACCCAGAAAAATATGAACTTTTCAGAGTTTTTCGGGCCTAAAGCTGGCAAAGACCATAAATCATGTAAACTGTTTGTTTATAGATATCAACATTAGTTTGTATGTTTCAGTTCTATTGGTCCTTCAAGAACATATATTTAGCATACATTTGAAATGTTTAAGTTGCAAGAAGTAATATTTCAGTATATTTTGTATTCTGTTTTAGAGACTGAGTTATGGCTGAATTTTTTGATTTGCTTACCATTTCTGAAAGCATTGTTTGAGTGATATTGTGTCATTTTGAATATATCCAGCTTTAAGACTGCATTTGTGTTTGTTAGACTTTCTCTGTCAGAATGTGGAAGGCAATGGTATGATGGATGTCAAAGTGGGAAAATATCTTATATGAGTTGGGAAGGATAAATTTGTGCTCTTCTTTCATGAGTGGTTCTTCAGTTTGATTACATGTTTTTGGTGAAGATTTAATGTGTTTGTTGGACGTATATCTGGTTAATGAAATTGTTGCAGGAATTGTTTAAGACATAGCTGTCTTTTTTACTATGCAAATGAGGTGATGTTCACCTTGATAGATTATACCGATGAGGCATTTTACATATTACCTAGAAGAAAAAAGAAATCATTGTGTGCCGATTTTGATGGTTGAGTGGCATCAGACAACAGCTATAGTTAATGTGGTTCATGATGGTTTTTATTCAAACAACTTCGGTTCTGTTCATTTTCTCTAGTTAAATCTTTTTTAGTGTCTTGAAACAACCGATGACAATTCTCTAATTCTTATTTGCAGGAAATGTATCAAATTAAGCTAGTGAGACCAAATAATTATGTGCCACTTCTACTCTTATCAATAAACGAGAACCAAGGAATTGAACCCTGTTACTTATTTCTCTCTCTTTTACCAAGTTCTCATTTCATGCCTCAGGTGCAATACCAATGCTGAACCAAGTTATGGGTGCTGCTAGAGGCGCAACAGATGCTTTTTCTGGGGTTGGAAGGCACGTTAATAGCTCTGTATGTCTTTTAAATCTTCCTTTGAGTCTAATGCTCATAATTAGTATGGCTTGTGTGTTTATGTGTATGATTGAGAAGTATTCCACTCAGGCTTCCTTCATAAACTTGCTTCTTGATTTTTTTTTTTATTTTTTTATTTTTTTAGCTGAGGAAGTTGGGAGCAAAGAACATAGAAGCAGGCATTGGATGTGGAGTAGGCTTTGGCCATGGGTTTGGTGTTGGTAAGGATGGACAAGATGTACAAACTCCAACTAAATTGTTTTAGCTTGGCAAATTCCAAGGTGAAATCTGAGGGTTATAAATACTGCAAATGGATATCTAATCAGCAGAACTGCCTGAGAGAAAAAGGCTATGGGGATGAGCAGGAGCTGCCCCAAAGTTTAAAGATCTTTTTTACGGTGCATGCTTTCTAGCAAAAGTAGATTTTTAAGTGATCATACAAGCTTAGCTCTGGCAAAATCTCTCTCTTCCCCCAACCCCCCCCCCCCCCCAATATAGCTTCTCTTTATTCCTGGACAGTTACTTTTCTTTTTGGTGCTCACAAGTTCAAATACTGAAAAAGTATATTAAGCACTAAATTTCTGGTAAACTAGATTCCTGAAAGAAAGGAATTTAACTTATTTATGTGCTATTGTTTGCACTTCTGAAGCTGTTGTAGCTGCATGACAGGTCTTGCCATGAAGCCAAGTGTGCTGCATCAGCTTCAGTCGTGCCTCATTGTATGTATATAGTGTTATGCTTTTCAGTTTTCACTAATTCCTGCTATGCTTCATTGGTTCGATCTTACACCTAGTTTCCTATCAGCAAACAGTGGCAAATTTAATGATGAGGTTTGGTATAGCTCCGAGCTTGCCTGCTGTCAAAGGTGCTCTTCCAGAGTCATTGCAAGGTGGCCTCAGCATGACGAGCCACAGATCAATTTCAAATCCGCTAGGGACTGTTGCACAAGTAGCAAAGAAAGCCCCTGAGGTCAAGCGTCAAGGATTGCCTGGAGATGCAAGTACAGTTTCTTCTGATGAAACTGAAGCTTACAAAAGTACTCCACTAAATGCATCTTACAGTAGTCAAACAGAGAAGGTCCTCAGCAACTTTTTACAAAATCCTCTTTTGAAAGATGAAGACAGAGAAGTAAATGAGCTGGTATGCTAATTGAACCATGCATCCATGGACCTGTCGTTCCCAATTAACTTCTTTGATATGTATATATTAGCTATTTATCTGATTGTTGCTTGACTTTAAAGCTTAGTTATTGATGATTACAGTGTTGCTTTCATCTTTCTTGGTGCATATTTATGTAAGTTACAGTATTGCTGTTGTCTTTCTTAAAATGGTACCTTTGGCTTGTAAATTCCGTTGGCACTGATATAGCTTTTGCAGAGGAGCTTAACGTTTTGAAAGTTTACAGCTAAGTTAATGAGAATGTGTTTTGAGCATTTAAAGCTTACAGGCTATGCGAACAAGTAAAAATATGGAATTGTAAAGGATGACCTCTAATTATCTCAAGCCCATTTACATGCTGAATTTTGGAATCAACCTAGTCCATCAGTTTTAAGTTGCGAGTATTTTTCCTGAAATGGAGGTCAAGTGTAAGCTTTCACAACTGGAATTTCTGACCGTAAACTGCATCCCTTCTGCTATTACACCTTCAAGCCTGGTCTTCATTCATTATACTGTAATAAATAATCCTAGGAAGAAGAAATGATTTTTTTGCTCTCAATGTCGTGAATATGTTTACACTGTTTTTACAGATATTATTATGCCTGCAGTGATTATTTGTCTACATCATTTTCAATTTGGTTATGTACATATTTACCGACTTGGAGCACAACTTTCTAAAAATGTAGTCTTTGATTTCTTAAAAATTTGCAGGCTGAGCATCTACGCTTGGAGAACAATGTACTTCAGATGGTAATATTTTACTGCTGATCTTTTACTAGCAAATATATGCTGACAGTGATCTAATTGTAGCCCATATTAGATTTTTTAAGGGAACTGTATTTCAGCATAAGTAGCATGACATTCATGGTTTAGAGAAATAAAATGTGTCTTTATTTCCTCTTGAGACTGTATACAGTCTGTTAAAAAGGTTTTGTGATGAAGCTCAGTGTATTTTCCTAAAACCAAGTAGAAAGATTTTGGACCCTTTATTTATACATCAAGAAAATAGTGTGTTATGCATGTATAGGAACTTTGGTGCTAATTTTCTGTGCGGATCAAATGATTCTGTTCCTAGGATATATTTGACGATAATCTAGAAAGTGATGTTCCACATTGATTCAGGTTTTGAGCCATCAGAGAATCATTGAGGGGCTGATGAAGGAAAACGAGAAACTCCACAAGATACTCGTGGAAGACCTGAAAATCTCACCTGAAAAGCTTCAAGCCACCTCCTTGAGTACAAACAGTAGTAAGTCTCCATGTAGTGAGTGTTTCAAGTGCCGTAGAAGACTTAGAAAAAGATAACTAATTACATATGTAACTTGTGATATTCTTATTTTTCATGCAAAATATTTACCTTGGGTATTTCTTACTTCCCGGAATCCATTAATGTTGTTAGCTGAAATATGTTGAGAAAAGCACAGAATTGCACATGTGCGCCAAAGAAGCCACTAATCCTCATGATAGGCTAGTAAATACTCGTCCATGAGTATGTTGTTGGCATTTTAGACTTAGAACAACTTAGACACTTCTCTCCATCCTTCTGTCTTTTCCTCAGAAAATTTTATGTCTCAATAATTTACTCAGGTAGAATGAGCAAAGCAGTACATGGCAGTTAGCGTACAACTTATTTGATTGTACATTGGTATGCAATATGCTTAAGCTGATTCCAACTCATACCTCAGGCATTGGTGTCTGTTCTATCCATAGATCAGAATTTTGATCATTTGAATAGGTGGTTATAATTGCCAATATACTCCATAATGAACCAGGAAAAGTTTGCTGAGGAATTTACTAGACTGGTCTAGGCTTTCCATGGTCTTGGCTGCAAATGATCCCTTGGAATTTGCAGAATTTGAATGCTTACTAATATATGCTTTTGTAAATCTGAGGTCTCTTCAGTGCTTAGATGGTCCAGTACAATAGAATGATGTGATTACTAGATCTTACTGGTTCAGTGAATGATGAGTTGAAGAATCCTTGCCATTAGTTCAAGTGTTCAACCATTCTAACCTGTGGGTCATGACCACGTCCCATGCAAAAAGTTGATAGTGAGGTCCCTGTGTCCAACCCATGTACAAAAGAATATTGTTGGTGGTTGAATTATAAATCCCCCTACTCATTATCCTCCATTCTTTTGGGAGCCTGCTTTACCAAAAATCCTAGAAATTCATCCTTGTCTCAGAAAGGAGTTCACACAGTACGATCCTTTTGATTGCTCCCCCATTGGTGGCAAAATTTTTGAAACTTACCGTATTATATTATTAAGTTTTTGTGTTTCTTCCAAAGATGCATACCAACAGGCTTTATCTGGAAATCATAGTGGAGAGATTTTATGGCCTATTGTAATATCTTTAGAATCTTTGAATTCATTGGGAAAGGGAGAATACGCATTTTGGATCCAACTCAACTTTTTTGTTGGTTTAGCCGGTTTTAGTCCCTCTGGTTCTCAAGTTTGGAGGGATTCAAATCCAAGCTTTGTTGAAACTGAGTTTGTCATTACTGTAAGCTTCGTTTTTAGTGAGTTTGTCATTATTCATCTGGTTTAGCAATCAAGGAACTAATCAACGTGCATGCTTCTACTTGATGAAGCAGATATTTTGAAGTAGAACAAAGTTAATAGATGTGATAGGAACTCCCAACTCATAGGGAGTAATATCACAGGCTGTTGACTTTATGGAATCATCAAAGATGACTAATTGCTTAGCTTTTTGTTGGAAACCGATGCTCCTCTGTCATAGCCACTGCAATTTTAGAAAGATAATGATCACCAAAGATTAAGAATGCCGTGGCATAAGTATCAAATCATTCTTTTTGTGGTTTATACACACAAATTTTGGTTTATACAAGAGTTAAAAAGGCATTTGATTCGACATCATTAGTGTTGTTATGTGCTGTCACATTATCCTAAATCTTTCTAACGACACTTTCACAGCTCGAGGCAAAGGTGGTGGATTTGTACAATTCCACTGACTGCATAGTAACTTTCTCGTGTCAATAGCACTGTAAATAGTAAAATTTGGGGATAACTGAAGGTTATCTTGATTGATCTCCCTCATTCTTTGTTTGTCTGAAATCTTGTTTGAAGTTGTGTAATTGGATTAACTTCTAACCAGCTGTTTCTTGAATGTGTGTGTATGTTTCATGGTGGGGCTGAGAAACCATGTGCAGGTCACCATCCCGGTCGTGTTTCAGTGGTACCAATTTAGCCCCACCTCACCAGCCATTCTGTGCTTATGCCTGAGTTCCACCATCCAAAGCCCATTCCCCTTTAATTTCCACACACGTGAAAACGTCCCAAGGACACCTTCCTATCCTCTGAAAGAGTTATTCTTTGTAGTTTCCTCCACATACTTGTATCCTTCCAGCTAGCAGACAGCAACATTTCCTTCCTTCCCACCAACAATTACACCAGTTCATCATTTCACCTTGCTTCAAGTCCATTTACTCATAAACTTTGGAGGACATTACTTTTTTGGTTAAATTCTCCTCGGTGTAATTTTTTGACGGTTGAAAAGGGTGATATAATTATACATATGGTCAGCTTGCAGCTGCAATCGGACAGGCCGAATTGATGCATGTTTGGAGATATACTTTTAAACATTTTCTCATCTCTCTTGTATTGTAAGATGGTGGACAATGATAAGTGTAGGCTTTTGCACCTGACCTTGGCCTGAAATTGGAACTGCCTTGAATTGTAGTAACTCTTCAGCAATGAGGGCTACTTGTACCGCCTAATTATGCATGCATGACATAATAAATACTGGTAGGTAGTCGAAGCAGAGAGACAATTTACCTTATTAGGCTAACCTAAAATGTTAAAAGAAGAGCTGTAACTCTGTAAAATCTCCAAACCGTCCTGATCTTTGCTCACAAATTACAAATGGAGCTCCAAATTAACCACAAATGAAATAAAAAAAAAAAATCAAAAGGAAAACAAGAAAAGCTGGAGAGCTCCCAATGAAAAAGAAATACCAGGAAAAGAATACATAAAGCATTATTTAATCTACACAAATGTGAATGGAAATGAATATCGTGGAAACACTGGAGCTTAAAAGAGGAGTGCAACTCCTGCAAAGAGTGTGAGCAAAGCCATGTTACTTCCCTGAACAAATGCACCTGAATCTGGGGAGGAGGGGGTGGTGGTGTTGGAGGGAGCAGGTGCTGGAGCTGGTTGAGAGGCTGGCGTTTCAGGTGCTGGAGCTGGTTGAGAGGCTGGCGTTTCAGGTGCAGGCGCAGGTGGGGAGCTCATGGATGGACTTGGACTCGGAGAAGACATTGGAGGAGGGGATACCGGAGTCGATGAAATGGTGGGAGCCATGCTGGGAGTAGTGCTGGGAGCAGGAGGAGGGGATACCGGAGGTGATGAAGTGGTGGGAGCCATGCTAGGAGTAGTGCTGGGAGCATGAGGAGGAGGAGGGGATGCCGTAGGAGCCATGCTGGGAGCATGGGGAGGAGGAGGAGAAGGAGGAGGAGGAGGAGGAGGAGGAGGGGATACCGGGGGAGCCATGCTGGGAGTAGTGCTGGGAGCATGAGGAGGAGGAGGAGGAGAAGGAGGAGGGGGGCTGGGAGCAGCAGGAGGAGGAGGGGATACCGGAGCTGATGAAGTGGGGGGAGCAATGCTGGGAGCAGGAGAGGTTGGCAGAGGAACTGCAACCGTAGGTGGTGGTGTAGCGGAGGTGGAGGGTGGCGCTGCATTTGATGTTGGAGGGAATGATGGCGCTTGAGCAGCTGAAAAACCGACCAAGGTAAGGGATAAGCCTAGCACGAGCATGGCACTTGAGACAGCCATGACTCCTGAGGACTAGAAGCAAATGGTGATCTCACAAAGAGGATAAATGTTGTATTAGACAAGAGCAGCAAAAGGTTTGAGGGACTTGAGGTTTTATATATAGGGAACAGAAGTAGCAAAGTTAAGAAATTATCTCATTGGGCACACCACCGGGTAGTACTAAATGATTTGTGCATTTGGGAGTTCTAGAGAAGGTAGTGGCTGTGCACTTCTTATTTATCTCCCATTGTACTCTTAGTCTTACATATAATATAAATGAAAAAAGAAACCGAATTCTAGTAAGGAAAAAGGGGTTAAAAAGTTTGATGCCTCTAGTCTAGAGGATTCCTTTTTTTTTTTTCCCTGCTCTGATTGATATGTGTAATAAAGACACAGCCGAGGAAGTTGTCCAAGACATAGAGGTTCTGTGGTGGAGATTGCGTCTTTGCTTTTATTGACTTGAGCTGGAGAGTCTCTGTGTCTTAAGTCATAAGTATTTGGGTGTAAATGGTCCATAACATACCCAACATATTATTATGGCTTGATGCTTTGCTTGCTTGCACTTCTATTTTCTCTCAGCAGACTCGTGACTGCTGCCTTTCATCACGAGACTCGCAACATCAGATGCAGAAAATCACCCCCAAATAATTGCTGCTATTTGCTAAAACTACAGAATAATGTTCTTGTGAATTACGGCCAAAAACAACTGCAAGGCCAATATGGAAATTCAATCTCCATCCTAGTTCTTGACCTGTGTAGCTTTTGAGTTCCACACGAGTATAGCTCAGTTACATGACATGTAAATCCCATATGGTGGTGCTTGATTGACCTTTTCTCGATGGAAAGCAAAAGCAGTGAAAAGGCCAACAGGGAAATGCTGGTTAAGGTGTATAAAGATTGGGACCAAGCTGGGAGTGTCGAGAACAAGAAAAAAGGTTGAAGAAGATTTACATTGAATATTGTGGCTGTGTAATTGCTCCGAAAATGGCGGGCCATTCTCCAGGAGGTTACTTCGGACATTGGCATCAGCACTAGCTGGTGATGATTCATCAATGCATATTTCGCCATTGATTGACAGAGATAAGAAAGGGAAAGCAGTGTGGTCTGATGAGGGTATTGCCCCCCCCCCCCCAAAAAGCCCAACCAAAAAAACAATCCTGACATTTCTTCATTTTCCACAGAGATGTCCCTTTCGGACCTCACTGTACGTTGCTGAGGAGGTTATTATCACTGAGAGTTTCTAGTAAGGGTTAAAATCAAAAAAAAAAAAACCGTCTGATATACGTAATACACAGAAAAGCCTCCTGCAGTTTCAAAATATATAAAATGACACCTCATATTTTGAACTAAATTGTAAACTAACAGAATTTATTAAACTTAACGGAATCCGATAAATTTTACTGAAAATTTAAAGGAATCCGATAAATTTAACAGTCGAAACCGTCATTTTCGTTGACTTTAACGAATCCTGTTAGTTTACAATTTAGTTCAAAACATGAGGTATCACTTTATATGTTTTGAAATCACAGGAGATTTTTTTTGTGTATTAGGTATACTACATGGGACTTTTTGTTTTTAATCCTTCTAGTAATACTGTACTAAACAAATTTCTTCTTCAATGTCTTGAGAAAGAGAGGTCAATTAACTTAATAAGCTGAGCAAACAAGAAACGCTTATTACAGCTCATTCCATCTATGTTACGTCAAATTTCAGCTTTGCTTTTCTTGTAATGACGAGGATATCTCGCTTTCTTTCTTTATGGTGGGGTCTGTCTTTTATCACCTCTAGCGGCCTTCATCGGTCGGTAATCGGGAATTTGGTAAACGGTTTGTCAAGACCAATATTCGATCACCGTCCAAATTTTAGTTTGATAAATTGGACATTGATAATTGAATTTCAGCTGGAGAATCAGTAATTTGATAATATCCAAAATCTGAAATATTAAGATCAAATATTTTAATTTTCAGTAAAAAAAAAAAATTGATGCACCAAAATAATATCCCATGTGATTTTTCCAACAAAATTTAATTTTTTTTTTTTAAAAAAAAGCACCAGTACATCAGTCATCAACTCATCATCATATTAAATAAACAAAAAAATAACAATTCTTACGAAACAAATACTAACCACTAGTTAGTAGTCAACAGCTACACTTATCACTAAATCTGTCGGTAGTAAAGTGCACGTGTATAACTAGTTGGGAAAATTGTTCAAAATATCCCTCACATTTTGTAAAATAATTTTTTTTGTCCATCACTTTTAAAAATGTACTTTTACGTTCCTTACAAATTCACATTGATTAAATTTGGTCCCTATTTAAGTTTTCAACTAATTTTTTATCAGAATCCATCATGTGCCTTGCATGTGATCATTTTTTAAGGATAAAATTGTCAAATAAAAATTTATATAATTCGATCCATAGCCTCTCAATCTTCACAAAATGAATTATTTCGTCCCTCATATTTTATAAAATAAAATTTTTCATGTCTCATTGACCATGTGTACGAATATCTTTTTTTTTTTAACTCATGTATATATTTATTTGATTTCACCCGAATAATACGAATAGCAAACAATATATCTCTATTTAATTTCACTAATTTCGTCTGAACGTACTGTTCAGGTGAAATTAAATATATATATACAGGGATTTAAAAAATTTATTAGTTTTTCACTCATGTTCATTTCCGTTTACTCAAAAATTGAAAATAAAGAAGACATTTAATCCTAAATATTATCAAGTGTTTATATCGAATTAAATTGGGACAGAAAAAATAAACAAAGGAAAAGTATGAGAAAAAGAAAGAAGTGATTGACACTTTTAAATTTTAAGACAATCACAAGACAAGAAATTCAACTATTGATCTTAAAGGTAGTGGATAAAAATTTTAGATTTAAACTGCAATTTCTTAGCATGATTATAGAATTCGAATTAGAACCGATTAATTAGATGACCTTATTACACAACTCAATAAATGAATTATTACCAAAAGAGAAATGTTACAAATATAGAATAGATTCACATAGTAAAATCAAATATATATATATATATATATATGTTTAAAACAAAATTGTTAGATTTAAAATTGTTAGATTTAAACCATATATATATCTATTGAATAGCATGTATACAATTACAATTAGTCTGTTTAGATGAAATCAAATAGAGATATATTACATATTATTCGTATTATTCAGGTGAAATCAAATAGATATATACATGGATTTTTTTTAAAAAAAATTATTTACACACATGGTCATTAAGGGATGAAAAAATTCATTTTGTAAAATGTAAGGGACTATAGATCAGACTATGTAAATTTTAATTTGATAATTTTACCTCTAAAAAATGATCACATGCAAAACACGTAATGAATTTCGACCAAAAACTAGTCGAAAACCTAACCAAATTTGAGCAATGTAAATTTGTAAGGAGCGTAAAAATATACTTTTAAAAGTGAGGAACGAAAAAAGTCATTTTGCAAAATATAAGGAACGTTTTGAACGATTTTCCCTAACTAGTTAGTAGTTAAGTAATTATTAGTTTTTTTTTTGTCAAAAAAAATTATTAGTTACTAATTAGTAATTAGTAGTATGTATAGATATAATTATTACACATACACACATATATATCTATAGTAAAAATTTTGAAAATTCGACGATAATCAATAATTCAGCAATATATTTTTAGTGTCTGTTTCCAAACCATTGTACCAAACATTAATTAGATATATTTTGATTTTATCAAATTCCATTTTACCGAAATCCGAAATCCAATCAAGATTGAATTGGCAGATTTTTTTTTTATTTTTTATTTTTTTTTGCGAAATTTGAACGCCTCTAATCACCTCAATCATTCACTCCTCCGACAAGTAGAGCTGCCCCTCATGTAATCAACAGAAAAGTAAAGAAGTCCCGTTATTGATGCAGTTGCCTGCACCTAGGCTAGACTGGCTGAATTAGTAACTGATTGCTTCTGCCAATAGATCTCAATTATTAGCTGATAACCGATAAAACCAGTTTGAAAGGAGGGATTCTGAAGCAGTAGGAAATAGCCAAGAGATAGGCTGAACCTCTAATGCTGTGAAAGATAAGCTATTTTCAATTCAAACTAGTGGAAACTCAAGACGAATATTATTGTTAGCTGAAGTATACATTTGTATCTATTTTGTCATCAATCCTTAGCTGAAATACCTTGTATCCCACTGTTAGAAGGTCCATTTGCTTTTACATGTGTATGGTAGCATCAAGAAAGTTCAAAACTGGGAAGTGGGAACTATATAGCCGCGCTGGATCAGCTCCCCATGTTGTGAACATTGGATGCATCTTACCAGCAAAAGGATATGGAAGTCGATCATATTGTTCCTCTACAAACTATAGGCTGCATATTGCACTATCGCAGCGTTGTCCAGCAAGAACACTATCTTTCTGAAGTCAACAATGGCATCAACCATCACCTCTGGCCGCTAAGTAGGGGTTGAGACGCCAGAGCTGCAATAGCGGTTTCGACAAAGCAAGTGCGCAAAATAAGTCCCAGTGCTTAGAATGTTTAGAATGTGATATCGGTTAGGGAAAAACAAAATACTCGAATGTTGTAACAGGACATATGCTTTCAGAAGATTGAGATACAATAATAGCTGCAGACTTAGTGACAAAATCTCCCCTCTGTGCTAAAGCTGTCAAGGAAAATGCAATATAACATTCTTGGTGCCTTGAAGCACAAAATATGATCTATCTTTCTAGAATGCAAGAAACTCTCAGGCAAAGAAAAACTACAGACACATGACCTAGCAGACAGAAAAATCAAATTAGTGATAGTCTTACACATTCAAACCAATCAATTTGTTCAACAGATACGGCTGAACAGCCAATGATACAGTTCAGAACACCCTTAGACTAGCAAGACGCATGCCAATATGACAACAAAAAAGATGCATTCACAAGCTTTTCTTATTTTTCTTAGAGACAAGCACTGGATTTCATCTTACTTTTTTTCTTGTAGGGGAGTTTTTGTTCGCAACTAAATATAAGGGATATCATAAGATTCATGTGATAGAAGTAAACTTAAATGACTCGATATAGAGTTTCTGTAGTATTTGCAATTTCATGCTGAATGACTGAGTATTTGACAAGAAACTAACTGTTATAAATTTACTCCTCGTTGAATTTTTATCCTTAGCTTGATTGGACCAAAAGAGTGCATCCAATATTTGATCAAAATTGTGTCTGAGGATCTAACCAGGA